CAACAACGAACATTCATCATTCCTCGAACAAAGTTTTACTCGTTCACGAGGAGTAAGATATTTCTATGTTATTTTTCATAAATTTTTGTTTGCATTGTAGCAATCTCAAATTATTGCTGCAGCTATTCCACAAGCTAGTTATTTACAGAAAGATTTATATAAAGTTCAATATGAATTAGCTAATCTTGAATAATATTGTGATGAATTAAGTAAATATATTCTTTTATGAATGAATTTTATCCATTTATTTTTATGTTCGGTTTGAAGAGGAAAAATATTGTGAATTATCTGAAAGAATTTGTCGACAAGCTGCTTATTCATCGATATGAAATTGAAAATAAACAGTTAAAAAAGACATTAAATTAATATTTTGTTTATTTTATATATTATAGACTTCAAGAAGAAAATGATCAAAAAATTGTTACACTTGAAAAAAAAAGTTTATGATTTGTTTCTTAATTTGTTTAAATAAATGATGAATTCTTTTAATTTCATGAATCTAAACAACAATATCATGAATATAATAAAAAAATGGTTAATCAAAATGTTTATATTCTTCTTCTATCAAACAATATTTCTGAAGAAATCGAAGATACAAATGAAACAGGGGTAAATGCATTCGATTCCATATTTATTTATTTAATTTATTTTTATGTGGATTAGGTGTGAGATGACTTAAAAAATGCTTTTGGTGATTTGTATCTCACGATCTTTAAATGAAAATGATTGTTCATTATTTATTGTCGAACATTTCAATTTTCGAAAGAAATTTTTTGAACTATCATATTATTCTTGTTATATTGTTTCTAAATCAAAGAATAAATATGTTCACGATTATTTTATGAAAACAAAAAAAAAACAATAATGATTACATTAGATACAATAAATACGATTAAGATGATAATTGCTCATTCGTTGCTGTTGTCGTTTAATATCTTGTTTATCACGATTAATTAGCATAAATTTATTTGTTAGCTAAAACAAACAAAAAAAAAAAACAAAACAATCGAACAAAATATAGCATAAAACTAATAATTATAAATCATATTTCACTTGTACAGGAGAAATTATCAGACAGATAGTATATTCTTCAAATGACAATCAATTTATTATAGATCAACAAATGATATGATATTCTCTTTCGATAGTTATATTTGACGGCAAATATGAATTCGAAATGTATTTTAGAATTCGAGAATAACAAAAGCAAAAAAGAAAAAATCACTATTATTTTTGTTTGTTCAATGAATAATGGTATAGTATGTCGATGTAAGTAAGATCCAGAGATGTCCATCGCGGCTGAAAATCTGCCGCTGCCGCGCCGCGGCCTTAGAAAAAAAAAGCTGCCGCACCGCTGCCGCGCCGCGGCGGTTTATAAAAAAATGTTGCCGCGACGCTGCCGCACCGCGATGACTTATAAAAGAAACGCTGCCGCGCCGCTGCCGCGATGAATTATAAAATAAACGTGCCGCCACCGCGCCGCTGCCGCGACGATTTTCAAAAAAGTGTTTCTAATTTCACTGCTGTGACTATATTTGACCAGAGATATGGGTACTAGTCCATCAGATTTATTCAATATCAGGGCGTTTCATTTGTAAATCGTGAAATTCCATTAAATTCATACAGTTTTTCAATGTCCTCCAAAAAAATCCTGCCGCTGCCGCGCCGCTGCCGCGATGGTTTTTTAAAAAACCTGCCGCTACCGCGCCGCTGCCGCGATGACTTTTAAAAAAATCTGCCGCTACCGCGCCGCTGCCGCGGTGATTTTTTTTAAAAACCTGCCGCTGCCGCGCCGCCACCGCCACCGCGGCAGCGGCAGCGGCAGCGGCGGCGGCGCGGCAGCGCCGCGATGGACATCTCTGGTAAGATCTATCCTATCTAGAATTACATTTTAATTAATAGATAATAAAACTTAAATAGATATTAAAATTCTAAAGAAAAATTCTTAGTCGATCTTTCGTTTCATTGAATTTTTTTGTTTTGAAAATTTTTATCATGTAGATTCGTTTATTGACTTTTTTCAAATTTTTTTTTTCTATAAAAAAAAAACAAATAATATTCACAAAACTGTTCTTAATGTTGCATTTAACAAAGGATTTCTTTTAACTTTTGTTGTTGGTGTCGCTATGATTTGTCTTGCAGCTTGAATTTTACTGTCTGGTGGCCGTTTAAAAGAAAATGGCATTAATTCACATTCGGACAATGAACTATTTAATGATGATGAAGAGGAGGAGGAGGAGGAGGAAGATGATGAGGATGATTGTTTTGATGGAAGAATTGGTAAAGCTGATTTTGATCGTCTTCGCTTGAATAATAAAGCATCATTATGTTTTTCAATCAAAATTTTTGTTGATTCATTATATACATGAATATTTGGTTGAGGTACAAGTTGAACTTGTTGACGATGAAAATTTAATATTGAAAATTTTCGTTTTTGTTCAATAAATATTTCAGCAGCTTTTAATCGATCATTTCCGGTTTTTATTCTTGTTGTTGTACTTTTTGAAAGATTTTTCTGATATTGTTCATGTAATGAATTCTCTTTATTCATCAATTCTAAAACATAATCAAGAGCATCTAATTTTGTTAAAAGTTGTTTAATATTAATTTCTAAATCTCCAATTAATGTTATATCATAAGGTCTTGGTGATAAAAAAGTTCCAACTAATTGTCGATTAATTAAAAGACGAATTGTTGAACGTGTTGTTGAATCAACAATATCAGCAAATGGATAAACAGCTAATGATGTACCCATAACAATACAACAATCAGATGAAGGTAAATCTTGTTGATAAAGTTGAAATCGAGATGGAAGATCTTCACCAAAAAAAACAATATCTGGTTTAATAATACCATTACATCGAGATGTTTTCCAACAAATTGGAATTTTATCATCAAATATATCTTGACGAATATCTTCACATTGATATTTTTGATGACATCGTTGACATGTTGCATATTGAAATGTTCCATGTGCTTCAACTATTTTATCATTTGGAATACCAGCCACTAAAATTATATTAAAACAAAAAATATATTTCGATATATATGTGTGTGTGTATCTCTGATAATTTTACTTCTTTCAAGTCCATCGATATTTTGTGTATAAACACGATGAAGAATATTTTTATCATATAAATAACGAATAAAATAATGATTTATATTTGGAAAATATTTTCCTGGATAAAGTTCTTTTGCTAAATCAAAAAATGGTTTTGGATTTTTATTGAAATAATTTAATTCAAATATAGCTTCAGGGTATGGAATATTATAACGTTGTAAATTATCATATAAACCTGTACCTGCTGTTCTATATAAATAAAATCAAAAACATCCTATTCATATTAAATAAATAAATAAATAAATAAATAAATACCGAAAATCAGGTATACCACTTGCTGTTGAAATTCCAGCTCCAGCAAGAACAACAATTCGTTTATATTGTCCTTTTTTTATTGATTCAATAAAATAATCAAGAGAATTTTTTTTAGTTGAACTTTTTCGAATACTAATACATTAATAAATAATTAATCATTTAAATTTAATTAATTATTTTTATTTTTATTTTTTACCTTTTATTATTTATTTCAAATTTTGAGAATTTATTTGATAAATCTTTTAAATTTCCTTTTGTAATATTATGAGATAAACGAGTTTGAGAATTTTTTTTTGACATGAAAACTAAAATAAAATCAAGTTTTTTTTTTAATATTAACTATTGAATATCAATCATAGAAATTCAAAAGTTTTTATACTTTAGAAGATCAACTAATAAAGTCGACTATAAAAATTTTGATTATATTTCAAATAAATATTTATCTTTTACTAAATGAGAAGAAGAATTTTTATCATGAAAGAATTGAATTCAAATATAAATTCTCTTAAATCAATATGTTTTGTTTTATGTTTGTTTTTTCGTTTCTGTTACAACCAATCAGAAACATTTTTTTTTTTACTTTATTTTTTGGTTTCTGCCCGTTTTAATCCATCCAAATCAACATCTACATCTACACGCTCCAAAACTGAAGCTTGAACTTTTAAACAATAGTCTTTTTTTCAGATAAGAAAACCGAATCAAAGAATATTTTTTGTGATCATTCATTTTACCGTTTTGTTCAATATATATATATTATAAATTGTCAAAATCGATCAGTGCATTGAAACAATAGTAAAAAAAACAATTGATTAAGATAAAGTTTTCTTTCTTTTAATTTGAATTTAAAATAATTCGATCAATTATAAATGTCTAAAAAATTTTGAATTTCAAAGAATTCTTCAATAAATGATATTATTTATCAAGAGGAAATCTTATAATCTGTTCAATTATTTTTTTTCTGATGTAAACAATAGAACGAACGATAATATAGAAATAAATTAGTTTCTATGTTAGATTTTCTTTAAGTGTCTAGACATACAGACATATATTTATATCGACTATATTTAATAAATAAACAAACAAAAAATTTGAAAAATCTTAAATAGTTCTATACATATAAGAAATAGAATTTACTTATTTCATATTTTAAAGATTAACAAAAAAGAAAAAAAAACTTGATCGATTAACTTACAAAATAAATAACGAATTTGGCTTATAAATATAGTCGATATCATTGAATAAAACTAATATAAAATAACATTATTTCGATCTAAAACAAATCAATTAGATAAAATGATTTATTTATTAATAATCAATGATAAAAGATTTTTTTTTTTTTTTATTGTTCAATAATAGAAA